CAGGGTCCTGGGATCGAGCCCCGCATCGGGCTCTCTGCTCAGCAGGGAGCCTGCTTCCTCCTCTGTCTCTCTGCCTACTTGTGATCTCTGTCTGTCAAATAAATAAATAAAATCTTAAAAAAAAAAAAAACAGGAAAGAATATCTAACAGGAAAAAGAGAGTCTCTCCAACAAATGGTGTTAGGAAAACTGGATAGCCACATGCAAAAGGAAGAAACTGTACCACTTTCTTACACTGCACACAAAAATAAATTCAAAATGGATGAAAGACCTAAATGTGAGACAGGAAACCATCAAAAATCCTAAAAAAAACAGAGGCAGTAATCTCTTTGACTCAGCCATAACAACTTCTTTCTAGATATATCTCCTGAGGCAAGGGAAACAAAAGCAAAAATAAACTACTGGGGGCACATCAAAATAAAAAGTGTTTACACAATGAAGGAAACAATCAACAAAACTAAAAGACAACCTAAGCAATGGGAGAAGATATTTGCAAAGGACATATCTGATAAAAGGTTAGTATCCAAAATATATAAGGAACTTATAAAACTCAACACCCAGAAATCAAATAATCCAGTTAAAAAATGGACAGAAGAAATAAACAGTTTTCCAAAAAAAGACATACAGATGGCCCACAGACACATGAATAGATGTTCAACATCACTTACTCTCTGGGAAATTCAGATCAAAACTACAAAGAGATATCACCTCATACTGGCAAGAATGACTAAAATCAACAACACAAGAAACGAAAGGTGTTGGTGAGGATATGAAGAAAGGAGAACCATCTTGCACTCTTGGTAGGAATGCAAACTGGGTACAGCCACTCTGGAAAATAGTATGGTGGTTCCTCAAAAAGTTAAAAGTCAAACTACCCTATGATCCAGCAATTCCAATACCGGGTAATTACCCAAAGAATACAAAAACACTAATTCAGAGGGATATATGAATCCCTATTTTTACAGCAGCATTTTTTTACAATAGCCAAGACACATGCAGCAACACACATGTGCACCAATTGATGGATAAAGAAGAATACAGACAATGGGATATTATTCAGTTTTTAAAAAGAATGCAATCTTGTCATTTGCAATGACATGGATGGAGCTACAGAGTATAATGCTAAGTGAAATGGCAGTCAGAGAAAGACAAATACCATATGTTTTCATGTACCCGTGGAATTTAAGAAGCAAAAGAAAGGAGCAAAGGGAAAGAAAGAGACAAATCAAGAAACAGACTCTTACTTACAGAGAACAAACTGATGGTTACCAGAGGAGTTTTGGGGGAATGGGGTAAATAGGTGATGGGGATTAAAGAGGGTACTTTCCATGATGAGCACCAGGTGATGTATGGAATTGTTGAATCACTATATTTTCCAGCTGAAACTAATAAAACACTGTTAAGCAACAAAATTTAAAACTAAAAAAAAAAAGATTTAATAAATAAAACTTTTCATTTTGTGTATCTCTGTACCAATTACTATATAATTTTATCAATTTTATTGTTCTGAACTTCATATTAGCTTTATATGTGTTTAATCCCCTATCTTTAATACATGCTTGTCTTTTTCAGTGAGATATTTTACTTTGATACAATTTCTTATTACTAGTTAATTTCTTTTCTTTTCAGAAGAAATTTATCTCCTTAACATTTTTTTTAGATTTAATTTTTTTTTCAGTGTTCCAAAATTCATTGTTTATGCACCATACCCAGTGGTCCTTGCAATACATGCCCTCCATAATACCCACTACCAGGCTCTCCCCACCCCCAAAACCTTCAGTTTGTTTCTCGGAGTCCATAGTCTCTCATGGTTTGTCTCCCCTCTGATTCCCCCCAACTCACTTCTACATAACATTTCTTATACAACTGTTTTAATAACAAGTTCATTTAGTTTTTGCTTGTCTGGAAACTATTTATCTCCCCTTAAATTCTGAATAATATTACCTTGGTTGAATTCTTGGTTGGACATTTTTTTTTTCCTTTTCAGCACCTTCAATACACCATGTCATACCATGCCACTCCCTTTTGACCTACAAAGTTTCCACTGAAAAATCAGCTGATGGGCTTATGGGGGCCCTTTTAATGCAACAAGTCATTTATCTCCGGCTGCTCTTAAGATTCTCTTTAATCTTTAACATTTTAATTTGAATGTTCTTTAATGTGGATCTCTTTTTTTTCTTATTTGGAACTCTGTGGGCTCCCTGGAACTGAGTATCTGTTTCCTTCCCTACGTTAGGGAAATTTTTAGCCATTATTTATTGAAATAAGTTTTCTACCTTTTTGTTTTTCCTTCTGTCTTCATTTGGGACTCCCTATAATACAGATGTTATTCTGCTAGATGTTGTCCAGTATGTACCTTAAACTATCTTAATTTTTCTATTTTTTCCCCTTTTCCTGTTCTTGGTACTTCTGGTGTCTTGTCTTCCAGGTTGCTCATCTGTTCTATTTTGTTTATTCTGCCACTGAACCCTCGAGGTATATTTACCACTTCACTTAGTGTATTCTTCAGCTTTGTGACTTCTCTTTGTTACTTTCTTGTGGTTTGTATCTCTCTGTTGAAGTTTTCACTGTGTTCATCCATTCCTCTCCTGAGTTTGGTAAGCATATTTATGACCATTACTTTGAATTCTTTATCAGGTAGATTACTGATCTCCACTTCATTCAGGTCTTTTTCTGAGGTTTTCTCATTCTTTCATCAGGAACATATACCTGTCTGCTCATTTTGCTTGACTCCATTTTTGTTTCTATGTGTTAAGTAAAATAGTTACCTTTCCTCTTTAAAAAAAATTTAATTATAACTAACACACAATGTTATATTAATCTCAGGTGTACAACATAGTGATTTGATAAGTTTATACATTATACTATGTTCACCAGAAGTGTAGCTACCATCTGTCACCATATACTGCTATTAAAATATGACTGACTACATCCCTTATTTGGTAATTTTTACCCCATGATTTATTTATCCCATAACTGAAAAACTGTATCTCTCACCCTCTTCACCCATTTTACCAATTACACTACTTCCCTCCTGGATGGCAATCACAAGCTTCTTCTCTGCATTTATGGGTCTGCTTCTGCTTTCTGTTCATTTGTTTTACTTTTTAGATTACACATATAAATGAAATTATATAGTGTGATCTTGCATTGGAGATAAACCTTATCAGTTCAGCCATGGCCTAGCTTATGGTTGTTTCTCATACCCCTGAGATTGTCTCTAAGTAGCACAATTTGTTCTTGATAGGTCTCAGTTGTTGAAGGTATGCCAAGACCTGTCACTGTTCCAAAGGAAGGGATCTCAGACAGTGCCTAGTTTCAGGCTAATTTTAAGACAGATTATCAGGCAATATATTCTTAAGATATGCAAATATGTAGTCTTTGGATCCACAATCATAAATCCTGTTGACTTCCAGACCAATCCCAGAGGTGTCCCTGTGCAATAGTTGCTAAAATCGTAGATGTAGACGTGTGTATAACCTCCTTTCTGTGAGGTATCAGTGAGCTACGATGATGTCAAGATGATGCCAAGTGAGGGTTCCAATATAGTGAATACCCCTGCCCATGTTCCCTGAGAGCCTTTCTGTAGCCTCTGGATGTGTGAGCTGCCCCCATGACAAAAAAAAAGGGAATTTTTTCATATCAAGAATGAGGGTGTGTTTTAGTCTTCTAGTTGTGCAGTGCCCTGGGTATGGTAGCCTGTCAAGAACTGTCTCTCTAACTTCTTCAAACACATTGGGTCCAGAAACAATATCCTGGGCCACTAGAGCCAGGTGATCAAGGGGTGTCCTGTGTGGGGTGTACATGCCCACCAACTATGGCAGGCAGGCTGTGAATGTGGTAGGGGGGTGGGGTACTCAGCCCACCTGGCTGTGGTAGGATAGGCCACAGCTGCAGAATGCATGGGTAGGGTGCTCCCATTGAAGCTAGCAGACTTAAAGACTTAAAGGAGGGGTTCCACAACAGTGCCCATCTACACCATGACCAACAAGGGAGAAGAATCCAAAAATGGTGCCCACTTCTGCCCCTGGAGAGAGTCCCAAGAGGTTCTTGCTTCTCCAGCAGATGCTTTAAGAATAGCAAATGAGTCTCCTTCACATAGAGTCTAGTTGCCTTGCAAACTGTTTTTGAGCTGGGTCCCATGGCAAGTGAGTCTGTGCAGGACCCTTTAAGAGTATATTTTTCATTCCCTACAATTCTCCTAGAAGTAAGCCCCACTGGTTCTCAGAGCCAGATGCTTTGGGGGCTTATTTCTCCAGTGCAGGTCCCAAGGGTTGGGGTGTCTGATGTGGGACATAGATACCTTGCTACTCAAGAACAAGTTCCATATCATGAGATCACACCCAACTGTGGATTGCTGCTCCTGAGGTGGAGTTTTTTTGAAGGACCACATCTCTACCTCTTATACCCATCTCAATGTGGCCCATTTATGCTTTGTTGTAGAGCCACTGTTTACCTAGCTTTCGGGTCCTTTTCAGAGGGAATTGGCCCATATATAGCTACAGATTTGTTGTGTTCATAGAAGGAGGTAGTTTCAGGATCCTTCTAGGCCACCATTTTTCAATGTGTCTTTTAAAAAGTATGTAGATTGTAAATGCATAAGAACCACTGATCGGTCATATTTGAGCATCACAAATACATGCTACTAAAGAGAATATGGTTTATTTATTAAAAAATAAAAAGTATGTAATTTTAAAGTAACAAACAGTTCACATAATTAATTGAATACAGCAGGCTCAAAGAGCATTTTCATTAACTGTTACTATAATATGTGTTTTCTTCCTTTCTATGTAATCAAATAGAACTTATTTTATATACTACAGCCATACTAAATCCAGAATTTCACACTGATCTTCATTACTACCGAGATATCTTACCATGTAGATTTCAGCACCAATATATATTAATTAAGGTACAGATTAGAAAAGAAGAAATAAAACCAACTTTCCAGAGATATTAAAAAAGAAAGCAACATACTTAAGTTTCTCATTTTGCTCTTACCGTATGTGATTCTAATTCAGCAATTTTCTCAGGGGTCTCAGAACCCAAATAATATATTCTAATCACATGGTCAGTGCTACCTGTTGTAATGAACATACCACCTGGAAGATTAAAAAACAAACAAGCAAACATTACACCAAGGAACTTTAAAAAACCTTTTAATTGCCTTCTTAGTTATATGCTACCTTATATTAATAAGACGTTATCTTCTTATCATTAAAGATAGGTTATCTTCTAATCATTAAAGACATGTAAAATTTCAGACAAAAATAGTTGAAATTCAAGAGAGATATTTAAAGGACAACTATACCATTCACTCAACAAAAACCCAACAACTATACACTAAATACAGGCCTTTGAATAATACACATTAAAGGTCAGAGCCTTGAGGAATTATTTATAATTTATGCAAAATACTAACGCTCAAAAATTTTTTATAAAATGACCTATAGCTAGAGTTCTCTTTACAGTGGCTATAATGGTGTAATCTAAAAACTCAACCACTTTGGGGATTATGAAAAAATTCTAGAGATGGAAGGTGGTTAATATATCAAAAACATTGTGAATATACTTAATGTCACAAAACTACTCACCTAAAAATAGTTATTAAAATAGTAAATTTTAGGGGCACCTGGGTGGTTTTGTCAGTTGAGTGTGCCACTCTTGGTTTCAGCTCAGGTCATGATCTGCAGTCCTGACATTGAGCCCTACATCCATGCTCAGCATGGAGTTTGCCTGAGAGTCTCTTCCTCTGTCCCTCCCCCAACTCAAGTGCTCATGGGTGCATGTGTGCACTCTCTCTCTCTTTGTCTCAAATAAATAAATATTTTTTTTTAAATAGTAAATTTTATGTTAAATTTACCATAATGAAAGAAAAGGTCAACTAGCATATAATTCTTAGCAGTAGAAAAGCAACCTTTACACACTGTAAAAGTGACTTCTATATGGAACTATAGTATATATTTTCTGAAACATCAGGTCAGGATTTTAATGTTGAACTGTGTGTGTATGGGGGGGAGAGCTGTACTTTTTACCAACCAAATTCTGATTTATATAAAAACATATTAGAAAAATTTTAAAAAAAACCTTTAAAAGCTATTACATGTTAGTTAAAATCCACAAAGGTCCATCTACTATATCATATGGTTCACATTTGGGGTATGTTTCTATTAAGAAACATATACCTTTTTCTCCACAAAATTAAACATATATCTTTTACAACTGGATCATTTAATATTTTGGGTACTTGAAACTTTCAATTTTTACACATACCAGAACTGAAAGACGAGCAAGATATCTGAACTCCAGGTCTGGATCTCTCAGTAAATTTCACTGGGCGATCTCTAAGGGAAAAGTTAAGATATTTGTATTTTCTATCATGTTCATTTAACATACAAGAATCTTTGCACACTGCTAGATATTGACAGATTTAACATCAGCATTATAAAAAACATAACTGAAGTAGTCAGTACTATTCCCATCATTTGGGTTAAAAATACATTAAACCTTGCTAATATACTTTAAGATACCAGTATTATTATTATAACTTTACAAGTTACCACATAACTTATTACCATTAAGAAGTTCAAAGTCTTCTTTTTTTTAATTTTTTATTTCTTTTCAGCATAACAGTATTCATTGTTTTTGCACCACACCCAGTGCTCCATGCAATACGTGCCCTCACTAATACCCACCACCTGGTTCCCCCAACCTCTCACCCCCCCACTTCTTCAAACCCTTCAGATTGTTTTTCAGAGTCCATAGTCTCTCATGGTTCACCTCCCCTTCCAATTTCCCTCAACTCCCTTCTCTACATCTCCCCTTGTCCTCCATGTTATTTGTTATGCTCCACAAATAAGTGAAACCATATGATAATTGACTCTCTCTGCTTGACTTATTTCACTCAGCATAATCTCTTCCAGTCCCGTACATGTTGATACAAAAGATGGGTATTCATCCTTTCTGATGGAGGCATAATACTCCATAGTGTATATGGACTACATCTTCCTTATCCATTCGTCCGTTGAAGGGCATCTTGGTTCTTTCCACAGTTTGGCAACCCTGGCCATTGCTGCTATAAACATTGGGGTACAGATGGCCCTTCTTTTCACCACATCTGTATCTTCGGGGTAAACACCCAGTAGTGCAATTGCAGGGTCATAGGGAAGCTCTATTTTTAATTTCTTGAGGAATCTCCACACTGTTCTCCAAAGTGGCTGCACCAACTTGCATTCCCACCAACAGTGTAAGAGGGTTCCCCTTTCTCCACATCCTCTCCAACACATGTTGTTTCCTGTCTTGCTAATTTTGGCCATTCTAACTGGTGTAAGGTGGTATCTCAATGTGGTTTTAATATGAATCTCCCTGATGGCTAGTGATGATGAACATTTTTTCATGTGTCTGATAGCCATTTGTATGTCTTCATTGGAGAAGTGTCTGTTTATGTCTTCTGCCCATTTTTTGACATGATTATCTGTTTTGTGTGTGTTGAGTTTGAGGAGTTCTTTATAGATCCTGGATATCAACCTTTTGTCTGTACTGTCATTTGCAAATATCTTCTATTTGCAAATGAGAGTACAGACAAAAGTTCAAAGTCTTCTTACCAGAATAATAAATGATACAAATACTCTTTACAAAAATTTAGTGTATAAGTTAAATAATCTCTTCAACACTAGTTTCATAAGAATTTTATTCTAAAATCTCTAACATCTAATTGAAGTAGGTATACATATATTTTCTATATTTATACACATGTATACATATATTTGTATACTTAAATACATGGACTATTAAGAATTTCTCAAGGTAATAAAGAAAAATAAACATGATTGATTTTGTACAAAATTTCTAATCCAATTCTAAACTTACCTAAACTTCATTGTTTTTACATGCCATTGCCAGAAACAGATTGTTCCATCAGCACCAGTAGAAGTGAGGTATCTGGTTGTGCCTTTAGTTGATGGACAAAACTTAAAAAAAAAAAAAAAAGGAAATCTAATTCAAATAGAAAGCTTTCATGTTCAAATTTATTTTAAACACAGCATGTTCTAAAATTATAATCATTTAAAAAATAATTTAAATAAATTCAATCAAGAATTTCACTTTCAGGAAATCAGTTAAATTTCCTAGATTAATGGATACCTTAAAAAATTTGAAAATATCAAGAAACTGTAGAAAAAAAAGTCAGTCAACAAATTTAGGATTAAATATATTAGTCTTAAAAATAATTACTTTTAGGGGTCCCTGGGTGGCTCAATCAATAGAGCATGCAACTCTTGATCTCAGGGTTATGAATGTAGAGATTACCTAAAAATAAAATCTCAAATAACTATTTTAAAGTACTAAATATCACACTTTAAGATTACTATTTCATCACTTCTAATGGAGAAAAAAAATCACAAGGTGGTTACTAGGTAAAACATTATAAATCTGCTAAATATATGTTTAACAGCAATGATTGTGGAATTTTTATAGCTTTTATGACCACAGCACCAGAAACCATTCTAAAATCAATGCTTAGGAAGTTACTATCTAAATATTTTGGTATTAATGCTTAACTTTAAATTCCAGCTTCAATGACATATGATATAAATTTTGTCCTTTTTAAATTTAAATCATTTTCATTTGTTATAATAGAATAAGTGGAATGGTCAAATCACTATATCATTGTGGGAAAAACAGATTAAAAAATATACTTAAGTTGCCAATTTAAAGGATGACTAATACCCTAGATGAAACATGAACAGCCTTATCATATAGGATTCTCAAGCTCTGACTCTCAGTATTTTATACATCCTCAGAAAAGAATCACATATAAGGGAAGAGCCATTGGGCTCCTGATTCCTGAGATACAGGAAAAAGCTGAAAATCAAACCAGGGTCTCTGCATGCCATGCATTTTAAAAATCCCAAATACAGATAATCAACACCACTAAGATAAATATTAAGAATCAAGATACATAGGATTTGAATAAATTTTGACCACAAATCTGAAGAAAATGATCACTACAGATTAGAAGTCATTTATACAGTTTTCTTGACTGGAGACACATAACTTCTTAAAGACTAGAGTTTAAATAAAAAATTATCAATTAATGTTATCCATTAATAATTGATAATATAGTAAAGAAACCAGTACTCAGGTAGCATGCCTACACTTTCCTTTCTGAGATAGAGAAGCTTGCATTGGAAAACTCAATCCACAATTTATAGGCAGAGTCTGCAAGCTACAGCCCACAGGCCAATTCCAGCTTGCTGCGTATTTCTGTAAATGAAGTTTTACTGGAACAAATTCACCTTACACTGCCTATGGTTGCTTTTGCACTGGAATGCAGAGTTAAAGTAGGTGTGACAGAGACCATATGGCCTGCAAATCCTAAAATATTTACCTATCTGATCTGTAAATTTGCTGATCCCTGATTTATACAAATGATATAAATATAAAACTCTATAATTTTATTAAGTCTGAAGAAACACTAGAACCTTTATTATCACCATTATATTTAAATAAATTCATCAGTCACAAAGGGGCATCTGGCCCATTAATGTAGTCTAATTGAATTGTTTTTAAATAATAAATCGTGTTAGAGATTATAAAACATTTGTATTTGTATTTCTTAATTTAAATTAATATATCATTATTGAAGAAAATTTAGTAAATACAGAAAACAATAAAAGGTACTTATAATCCTACCATGCAGAGGCAACCACTATTGAAATCATACCATTATATCTCAATTTTGCTTACAAAAAAGAATCTGGAAAGATAAACACCATGATGTTAAGAGAGACAGTTAATTAGTCCAGAATAAGTAACACATATAGAATGCTAAATAAAATTAAGAGGAGATAAAGAGTGCTGGTACAAGGAACAACTTAAAATTTTAGAATGGTGAAATGGTCAGAGAAAGTCTCCCTGAGAAAGACAATTTGCACAAGGTGGTTAGAAAGGGAAGGAATAAGCCATGTGACTATGCAAGGAAGAGCCATTCCACCTCCATGAAACAGAAAAAGCAAAGGCAGCAGTGTAGATAGAGTGGTCTAAAAAAGCAGAGAGGTAGCAGCTAAAGCAGAACAGAAATGGGAAACGAGTAGTAGACAATGAGTTCAAAGAGAGAAAGGGGTTGAGAATATAGGCCTTACAATGTGGGTCATTTAGACTTCCACTTAAATCTGAATTTGGAAGCTACTGAAGTTTCTGAGTACCAGTGACATGATTTAACTTACATTTAAAAAATTACTCAGCTTGCTATGCAGAGGTTAGACTGGGGCAAGAAAGAGGGAAGGGAAGAAGCAGGAAGATCAGTTAGATGTCTGTCTCAATAATCTAGGTTACCAGTGATAATGGTTTGAAATGGAATAGTAATCATTAAGGTCATGATAATTTGTCAGATTCTGGATATATTCTGAGGGTAGAGCCAACATGATATGCTAACAAGTTAGATATGAGATATAAGAGAAAGAAAAAAAGTCAGGGATGACTACTCTGAGCAACTGAAAGGAAAAAATTGCCATATGTTGAGTTGAAGAAAGCTCTTGGAAAAGTAGATTTGAGGAAGAAGACAGAAGTTCAATTTTGAATATGTTGAGTATGAGATTCATGACATTTATGTGATGGTACCAAGTAGGTATTTGAATATATAAGTATGGAATGAAAAGAAAGGTCCCAAAATAAAAATATAAGTTTGAAAATCATCAGCCTACAGATAAACCTAAAGCCATGAAACTTAATGAGATCACTAAGAGAAAGAATGTGATAGAGATCCATGGATCTTTAGGGAGTTCCCACGTATAAATGAAATTAGATAGAAAGTAGAAAATCAAACTATGAAGGAGCCAAACAGTATCATAAACATTTTTCAATATAAGCAGTTATTTTTTTATGTTATATGAGAGTCGCTGCCAAATTCCAGAAATAATCTGTCAGATAAGTTGGTAGAAATACAAATAACTAAATAATCACCTAAAACAAAGTCCATGAAATAATTTCCATTGATCAAAAATTTGATACAAAATTTTTAAAATCTAATATACATTAAACCTAATTCATGAGGCACCTGGGTGGCTCAGTCGGTTAAGCAGCTGCCTTCAGCTCAGTTCATGATCCCCGAGTCCTGAGATCAAGCCCCAGGTTGGGCTCCCTGCTCAGCAGAGAGCCTGCTTCTCCCTCTCCTTCTGCCTGGCACTCTGCCTACTTGTGTGCGCTCTCTTTATCAATTAAATAAATAAAATCTTAAAAAAAAATCTTTCTAACTCCTCATAAACAGGTGATATTAAATTAAATAACACACAAAAATTAATGGACATACTTTCTTTTGACTGAAGAACAAAGAAAAGTAAATGGGAGTAATTATCTCATCCACAAAAGTAGTCTCCTTGACCACAGTATAAAATACAGTTTCAGGATTCCCTTTTGCTCTCAACACAAAGAAGAGAACAAGTTCAACTTAGTTTTCTTAAATAAAAGGTTTTTTTGGAGGTATCCAGGATTTTCACTATCAACATTTAGTAAAAACACTCTGTGAACAAGAATTGAAGTCAATGCATTTTATATCAAACATCAAGCTGAAACAGGAAATCACTGAAACGAAGAATAAAATTTTCTTTAACATTAAACCATACACATACAATCTGACTGACAAACATCTTGCATTAAATATTAACACAAAGTATGCCAATATTCAAATTAGAACCTGTTTGCAACTTAACAGGTATCAGTGTTGCTTCCTTACAGTATTTATAAGTCTTCTCCCTTCTTCAAAAATACTAGTCAGATAAATGTCTTGCATTATATTTGGAAAACTTATTCAGTGATTTTTGAATTATCTCTAAAACAATAAATTTATATGAAAAAGGAATTTAAAAAATACCAGAGAAAGGTAGGGCAAAGCCCTTAGAGATCACTTTTCTGTTGCCATTCTTTATAATAATATCCACACAAAATAACAAAAACTGAGAGAATTTTCATCCTCATTGCATAGGTAGTGATACCTTTTCATTTTTCTTACCTGTATGGAAGTAATAGAAGCTGAATGTCCCTGAAGGACTGCAACTGGTGCACAAGTTCGAAGACACCACACTCTTACTACCTTATCACAGCTGCCTGCAGCAATAAGAGTGTTTTCATAGTTAACAGCCATATCAGAAATTTCAGCAGAGTGCCCTCGGAGTGTAGCAAGGAGACGTCCATCATCCGTTGCCCAAATTTTCACCAAACAGTCATCTGAACCCTATAGTAACACAGAAGGACAGATTCCCAATGAAGCAAAAATTTGCACCACCACCCCCCTTCCTGGAAAAAAAAGCCAAAATGACAAAGGGAGGATTTTTTTTAAGATTTTATGTATTTATTTGACAGAGAGAGAGAGAAAGAGATCACACATAGGCAGAGAGAGAAGCAGAGACAGAGGGAAGCAGGCTCCCTGCTGAGCAGAGAGCTGAATGTGGGGCTCCATCCCAGGACCCTGACATCATGACCTGAGTGAAGGCAGAGGCTTAACCCACTGAGCCACCCAGGTTCCCCAAAGGGAGGATTTTTATTAAGTTACTTCTAAGCCTTTACTTTCTAATCTCCTCTGCCCATATAATATGGATACAGGAAGAAATATAAATGATCTCCAAATGACAGCACTGACAAAGCATTATGTAAACTGATGAAATTTGTGAAGAACTCCCCAAAACTACCAATCCTGACAACTCAAAACATTTAAAACTCACTTTAAGTGATTTGGCATTAAATATATCTGCCATTATTTCTTTTTTTTAAGATTTTATTTATTTATTTGACAGAGAGAGAGAGATCACAAGTAGGCAGAGAGGCAGGTGGCGGGGATGGGGGGGGGGGAAGCAGGCTCCCCACTGAGCAGAGAGCCCGATGTGGGGCTCGATCCCAGGATACTGGGATCGTGACCTGAGCCAAAGGCAGAGGCTTAACCCAGTGAGCCACCCAGGCACCCCTGCCATTATTTCTTTCCTTATGCCTGACAGACTTTTATCATGATTCCTTGAATATTTTTCTACAAATATTTAAAAATTTAGCCTAAACTCTACATGCATTTCTCAATAACTTGAGTCCTTGTTAATAAACTCTGCTGAAAATGTTAAGTTGAACTTCCTATTGATAATTTCAAAAGAGCTTTAAAAATAGTAAAAAGCAATTCTACTCCAATGTAGTAAATAAGTTAGTTCATAATTATTGGTTTATAAAAAGATAACGGTACACCTGGGTGGCACAGCCAGTTAAATGTCAGACTTCAACTCAGGTCATGATCCCAGGGCCCTGAGATCTAGCCCAGAGCCCCAGTCAGAGCCCCAGGTCAGGCTCCCTGCTCAGCCGGAAGTCTGCTTCTCCCTCTGCCCCCACCCCCACCACCCCTACTCATGCTCTCTTTCCCTCTCTCTCTCAAATAAATGAATAAAACCTTTAAAAAATAAAAAGATAGCAATTGTCATTCTCGTCATGATCATTAACATCCAAATACTTAGGTGATGCATTTGGAGTTATGAAAATGTCAATGGAAGAGTCTTTAACGAACTCCAAGGAGTCATAATTTCCCAAAATGCAAACTATTTCATTTACCATAGCACAGAAAGTTAAAAAGAAAATTATGACACTAAATACATTTCTATGTTAACTTACTACTAAAATAGTGAGACTAAAACCCTTCTTAGAAATATTAGCATGCTACAATTTTGTACTCAAAAGCCCACGATATTATCTGGTTAATAAAATGCTAAGCGAAGTCAGTCAGTCAGAGAAAGACAAATACCATAACAAAACAAATGAGCAAAGGGGAAAAAAAGGAGAGAGAGAGGCAAACCAAGAAAGACTCTTAACTATAGAGAACAAACCTATGGTTACCAGAGGGGAGGCAGGTGTGGGGAAGAGGTAAAATACATGACCAGGATTAAGGAGTGTGCTTGCTGTGATGAGCACCAGGTGATGTATGGAAGCGCTGAATCGATATATCGTACACCTGAAACTAATATTACACTGTATGGAAACTAACTGGAATTTAAATAAAACTTTAAAAACCCAGATTTAAGGATGCCTGGGTGTTTCAGTTGGTCGAGCATCCAAGTCTTGATCTCAGTTCAAGTCTTGATCTCAGTTCAGGTCTTAATCTCAGGATCATGAGTTCAAACCCCATGTGCAAATTTTTTTAAAAAATTAGTATTGGGGCACTTGGGTGGCTCAGTCAGTTAAGCATCTACCTTTGGCTCAGGTCATGATCTCAGGGTCCTGGAATTGAGCCCAGAGATGGGGTCCCTACTCAGGCAGGAGTATGCTTCTCCCTCTGACCCTTCCACCTGGCTCTCTCTCCCAGAAAAATAGATGAAATCTTAAAAAAAATTATTAGTACTGAAATAAAAGAAAGATATACACAATAAATGTAATTTTGGTTACAAACTGTGTATGGAGTACAATTACTCAACCATAAGAATGACATAATCATTTTAATTAAGCAGAATAGGTACCAATTACACTAAGTGACAAATGCAAAATGCATTTTAATAAATGTTTGCTAAAATGAAATAGAATGGAGTAGATAAATTTGTTTCACACAAATTAACCTCTAGAATATAAGGCCTTCTTAAGATTTAATTTTTTAAATTAGATTTCCCAAAACATAGAGGACATTATAGTTCACCCATTTATATAGAATGAGAAAAGATTTTCAATTTCTTTTTTTAAGTTACATATTTCTTCCCTTTTTTTAGATTTTACTTAAATTCAAATTAGTTAACATATAATTTATTATTAGTTTCAGAGGTAGAATTTGGCGATTCACCAGTTGCATATAACACCCAGTGCTCACTATATCAAGATCCCTCCTTAATGTCCCTCATCCAATTATCCATCTCCCACCCACCTCCCCTCCAGCAACGCTGTTTGTAAATTCATCTTTTTACTCATCTTTGTACTCATCTTTCCTTGCATTCATGTGTCTAAGAAGGATGAATTGCTTACAAAGTATAATTCAATACCATGAAGCCTACTTTCAACTGTAGTAAATCACAAACATGCTACAGTATCATTAATTTTAAACTCACTGTAAAAATTCTTCTCCCACTTCGGTCAAATGCTACACAGTAGACAGATGACAAGTGCCCCAGAATTCTCTTATGCATCTTAATGTGCTGGTAAGCAGATGAAGGGAAAATATGGCTGAAGCGACTGCATCCAGTTAATTGCCGGGCAGAGGTGATATTCACTGAAAAACAGAATAGAAGATTCCTTCTTAAAACTTAAAAGCAAAACGTAATTCATAAAGTCAAATCATAAGTATTAAGATGAGGTAAAATAGGGTACACACACTATAGCAATTTTACCCTGTGAAAAGCCTAAATTCCATTATACATTTAATGATTTTATGAATTCAAGTTTACTACCACAAACCACTACGAATACTCTTTTAAATCCCGTAAGTCTGTTTCTGTTTGCCTTACTATGGGTTCTCAAGTACATTCTTGTTTTACCTTTCTTGGTAAAATACAGTCAAAGACACTGTCACTTTAAATATATAGGTAAATCTTACCATAACATAAAGAAATTTTAGAATAGAGACTATATTTGATTAAATAAATACATTTTAAAAGTTACATAGGTAACTGTATGAACTCCTATCCTACCTCCTCAAACCTATTCACTTCATATGCAGCTACACAGCTATCTCTAAACTTTCAAGAGTAATAGACTTACACAGTGGGACGCCTGGGTGACTCAGTCAGTTAAGCATCTGCCTTTGGCTCAAGTTATGATCCCAGGGTCCCAGGACGGAGTCCTGCATTGGGCACCCTGCTCAGTGAGGAGCCTACTTCTCCCTCTGCCTGCTCTGCCTGCTGCTCCCACCGCTTGTGCTCTCTTTCTGACAAATAAATACATAAAATCTTAAAAAAAAAAAAAACAGACTTATACAGTGAAAAAAGAAAGGAAGCTATGATAATACATTAAGTTTTCAGTAACAAACAATCCTTTCTAAGTTTGTTTATAGGTTCTCCATTTTTTGGTTTCTGAAACAGTAGACTCTCCACTAGTTACCAATAAATTTTTGAAACTGCATCTCCTATATAATGTCATCATAGTTCTTTTTGTTTGTTGTTTTGCCTTATTAATTTCCTTTAAAAAAACAGAATAAACCAGAAGTCTGTCCAGTTCTCTTTCAAATGCCACCTGGATTCTTCTCACTTACCTAAAATGGAGATCTTAATCCCCATGTAAGGATTTACAAGCACCCGCTTGCTCTGTGAAATTCCTCCAGTCTTCCCTTATACACTAAAAATATTTAACATCCCATACATTATATTTTAATCAAAACATAAGATCCTTATAAGCGCAAGGTCACCTTGAAGCAACATAACATTTTACCGTAGTGCATAAATAATATAGTACAGATGGTAACAGCTTTATGTTGAAGTAAGGCAAAATTAAGGCAAGAATGGGTTTGTAGCTAGATTAAAACAATTAGAACTGTGCCACAATAGGGGTGCCTGGGTGGTTCAGTGGGTTAATCCTCTGCCTTCGGCTCAGGTCATGATCTCAGGGTTCTGGGATTGAGCCCCAGATCGGGCTCTCTGCGCAGCAGGGAGTCTACTTCCGCCTCTCTTTCTGCCTGCCTCTCCACCTACTTGTGATCTCTCTCTCTCTGTGTCAAATAAATAAATACAATTCTTTAAAAAAAATGTCAGGGTCATGTTAAAAAAATGCCACAATAAAAAATATGAAGCTTTCACACATCTCAATCTTAAAAGCAATGGAGTCTTTTTTTTTTTTTCAGGCAAAGGCAGATCCACTGGCCATTTTAAATTCAAAAAATGACAAAAAATGAATGATAAATAGCAAAACCAATGAGACTTTGAATGCAAAACAAAAGAGATCTGAGGATTTATAGAACACTGTGAGATGCTGAATAAATAATGGTAGAAACCCACAAGCATCACTACTACCAGCTCAGAGGATTTCTTTTTGGCACCTCTCCCCAACCCAACCCCTAGAAATTTTCACAACTCTAAGATGGAAAGAGCAGACACTATTAACTTTGGGACTTAGTAATCTTCCTTCACCAGTCAAACATTTCTTACTGCTCTTAGTTCCTTAAAACAATCAACCATCACTTCTGTTTTGACTTTTTTCTACCCATAATTTTCAAATAGATAGAAAAAAAGGTGTGTTACTTTAAGGCAGGGTTTTTCAGCCTCAGCAATACTGGCACTTTGGGCCTGATGAAACTTCACTGTGTGGGGCCTGTCTACTGAAAAGTATTCATTAGCCTCTACCCACTAGATTTTAGTAGAACCCTACCACCATTAAGCTGTGACAAGGAAAAATATCTCTAGACATTGCCAAATGTCTACTGGTGGTAATAAACAAAAACAAAAAACATGACAACTGTCCCCAGTTAAAAAACACTACTTAAAGTAGAAAAACAAAAAACAATATCAATAGGAATAAAAATAATCAGAAAACCAACTCTAAGAAGAAAAGCAGAAACATAAGGAAAAAGAAGTAGTGAAAGACACAGGAGAGAGATAAAGAGCTACCAGAAAGCTACCAGAAGTCATTCCTCTAATAAATACCTATGTTTTTTGAAGGCCAAAGGAATACAACTAAGCATATAAACAATATATTCTTAACCCCACTAAGAGATCCCATTAGCACCACAGGCCAAAACTGTTAAATCAAGAAAAATGACTAAAAACTTTATGCATCTTTACAGTCTATACAAATTAGCTTCTACTTTTTAAGACTCCTTTACAAAGAAAACTATTAATTGAAAAAAAATGGAAAATATATCCAACAAATATGACAAAATCTTAATATTTTAAAACACATATAAAACTAGCCATCTTTAAGAATACCACTAAGGGGGCGCCTAAGTAGCTCGGGTCCTGATCCCAGAATCCTGGGACAGAGTCCCACATCGGGCTACTAGCTCAGCAGGGAGCCTGCTTCTCCCTCTCCCTCTGACCACCCCGCCTTGATCTCTTTCTCAACTCAGCTCTCTCTAATAAATAAATAGAATCTTTAAAAAAAATTCCACTAAGATCTAATAGATGAATGGATAAAAGGAAATTAACAGGTAAGTCACAATATAGGAAATACAAATAAACAGAATCATAGAATATATTTAACTATTTTGCCAACTATCAAAAGAAATTTAAATGAAAATAATGAAATACAGTACTATACCTAATAAATTATCATTTTAAAAATTATAAAACCTAAGGCCAGAAATTACTACTTGAAACTGTTATATGCCTACATTTCTAGATAGACCATAAAGTGACATGATCCATTTGGAAAATAATTTTGGCAATACACCTCAAGAATCATGAAAATATACACACTCATTGCCCAACCCTTAAGAATCTATTCTAGTGACACAACTTATTAGCAAAAATGAGTTATATGCACAAATGTTTAATGAAGTACTACTTATAATCCCAAAGAATGATAAATAACCTAAGTCCAACAACAGGGGAATGGTTGATCAAATTACAGAATATGTGATGGACTATTCTATAGAAATTAACAATTAAAATACAAAACTACAGCACTGTGGAAAAATTTAAGAACTACAAAGCACAAAATATAAAATGCAACCTTACAAGTATACTATGATTTAAATTATGGGAAAATATGCATACATACATAATAATGGCTAAAAAGAAACAAAGGAAATGAAACCAACTGCTTTGTGATTAAACTATAGGTAAATTTTTAAAATTTCACCTAACACACTTAACAATACATTTTTAACTTAAACACAATTTTTCTATTGGGTTCTTCCTAGTTACTGTTAATAGCTATTCAAAAAATTTCTAATATAAGGTACATTGTATATTTGACAGCAGCAGCATCAAATATTCCTTATTTCCAATCTCAGTGATTTTTTGTTTATTCATCTAGCACCTGAGATGCTAACATTTATATATTTTCTGTTATTTGATATCAACAGGGCTTAGGCTCTATATACACTAAGGAGTTCTGTCAACACTCTTTTTTGCATGCATTGTCCATTTAACCAGTATTTTTCACAATTGCTGCTTTCTGTTTTTCTTATATATTTACAGAGCACTTTATCAGAAACATTTTCCTCAATTGTTAATGGCTGATAACTGACTACAAAGATACAAGAGTTCACTTTTAACCAACACTTGAGTATTTTACTAAGAAGAATTGGGTCTCATTCTTCTAAGCCTGAATATTATTCATGTTCCCTTTAAGAGAGAAGAATGCTCAAAGTCATTATTCTTTTGTTCAAAATTAACAATAAAATAAATGACACACATACACACAATTATCACTGTCCTGTATCTGAATATTTCTACCTAATGTACTATTTCGGTGAATTTTTTTCTATTTTAAGTATAATGCAAGTTGAAAGATAAGTAATTTAAAATTTAAAATTTAAAAATTCTCACAATCCTATGCTAATATATCCACTATAATGTCATTACTGCATTCTCACTATTAAGCCTTCCTAGTAAATCTATAGGTTCTTCCCCTATATGCTAATTGGGACTTTAAAGGTGTTTTGTGGTAATCCTTTATGGGTTGAGCTGAATGAAACTTGGTATTTGACTACTTTCTACATAAAAAATAGTGATTTTAGATGGCTCAGTGTAATACCTATAAGTGGAGTGCAGGGATGGGCAGACATCAAGCTTTAGTTTGATGTAGGTATCTTGCCCTCTTTACTTCTCCATTAGGAAAGCATCATCCACACACTGTCAGGTCTATAGTATCATCCCATATAGATTTCTCATTCCTTTCATCTCTACCCATTGTTTTTCATAGTATAGTCACATTTATACCATTTCAAGTTTGTATCTCCTTATGCAAAATTTTCTAGTTCACTTTCTTGTATTATACCTAGTAATTATAAATACTCTGTCCAACCTAATGTTTTCTCTTGTGACTTACTGGTCACTTCCACCTTTGTGGATCTTTTTCCTATGTTACAGGCACTGTATTTCATCATGCCATTTTTTTTAAAAACTGGGTAATTTTATAAGTGTCCCTTACAAGCAGTAAAATTAACTTATTTCAGTTTAATTTTCTATGCTTCCTCAACATCAATTAGAAGTGCTAGTGAATAGGGTCACCTGGGTGGCTCAGTGGGTTAAGCCTCTGCCTTCGGCTTGGGTCATGATCCCAGGGTCCTGGGATTGAGCCCCACATTGGACTCTCCACTCAGTGGGGAGCTTGCTT